AAATTAAAAAAAAATACCGCCTTCTGGAATATTCCTGGAAATTACAGAGCAGAAATAGTGATAGGTATTCTGGCTCAAGGTGAGAAATCTCCACTGCCCCTGGCTCTTTTCCACCAGCTCCTTGCTGGGCCTGCATTCTCAGTGCTTCTCATGGGTACCCTCACTCCTGGAGGGGGGTCAAGCGAAACATCTGGGGACATACACATTCTTTGGTTGATAGGCCTTGGAGGATGTTTTGTTTCAGAGTGCCTCAAGAGACGGTCTCCCAGCTCCTGGTGGCCTCAGCAGCTGAGCTGTGGAGCCCAGGCTGGCCTCAAACTCACCAATCTTCTGCCACAGCATCCCAAATCCTGGGATTATAGACATGTGGCATCATGCCCAGTTTGAATCTTTTTAAGTTTTGTTTTATTTTCGGTACAAGGAATCAAACTCGAGGCCTTGCGAGGCAGGTGCTTATGCTGCTGAGATAGCTCCCTGGGCCTTAATCTTTTTTTTTTTTTTTTTTTTTGTGATACTGGAGATTGAACTCAGGACCCTGCGCTTGCCAGGCAAGCGCTTATTCTACTGAGCTATCTCCCTGGCCCAAGAGGCTTAATCTTTTTTTTTTTTTTAATTATTTATTTTACCTGCTTATGCAAATGCAGTCAGGTGCGGGATACCGCAGCTCGATTCCCAGACCAACTGTTAAGGCAGCCCGAACCAGTCAAAAAAAAAATTATTTTATATTTGCTATAAGGTCTCATTACACAGCTCGGCTGGGGACACCCACACAGCTCGGACTCATAGTGATCCTGTTTCCAGCCTCCCCAGCTGGGATTACAGGCATGCACCACCATGCCTGGTCTCAGTGGCCAGCTTAGCATGCCTGGAGCCAGGGCAGCAGCATGTGGTGCTGGGGATCGAACCTTGGCCCCTGTACCTGCCTAACCAGGCGCTTTAGCCTACTGAGCTATCTTGCTAGCCCTTGAATCTTTTTATTTATTTTTAACCGGGATTGAACTCAAGCCCTTGCACTTGCCAGGCAAGCGCTTATTCTACTGAGCTAGCTCCTTAGCCCCGAATCTTTTTAAGATACACAGGCTTGTTTAGTTTTCCAAGGACTCTAGCTGGTTCTTTCCTTGGATCTCTGGAAAGAAAACCCTCAGCCCAGCACCAATGAACAGAAACCTCAGAGTCACGGGCAACATCCCTGGGACAGCGGATTGCCTAAACTCCAGGGGGGCTCTCGTGCCCTACCATGGTGCTCAGTGACCTGGGCAGGTCCCTCTGATGTCGGGTGGCTTTGGTGTCCTGAAGACCTGGGCTTGTGACAGGTTTTCTTTTTTTTTTTTTTTTTTGGTCTTTTTGAGACAGGGTCTCTCTCTGTAGTGTACTTGCCCTTGAACTCAAATCAATCCTAGCAATTCTCCTGCCTCAGCCTGCCACGTCCTGGGATTACAAATATGTGCCACCACGCCCAGCTTGTGGCAGCTTCAGACCACTATGGCAAGGAGGAAACAGTAGTGTGGAGAAGTGAGGGGATGGGGCGGAGAGACAACGGCTGGGCCTGGGGCAGGAAGGGCTGCAGGTGGTAGGAGGAGGAGGGAGGCTGGGCAGCTGCACCGCATGGCCTCGGGCATTTGGAGACAGCCTAGGGCCCTGACTGATGGGGTTGAAACTCCCAGGGGGCAGAGCCTCAGCGGGAAGCAAGGCCCAAGGTCAGCCCTTGTGCCTTGGGCAGTTCCGGTGACAGGGTGGAGGGTTCCTCCAGGCCAGGCACGCTTCCTGCTCCCCAGCTGTTACCCACAGATGACTGCATCTCTGCCCCCCTTAGGGTAAGATTAACACCAGCTGGGCGTCACATTGCTTTCCAACACTGTGGAGACATCACCTGCTGGCTCCACTGTGCGACTCAGACTCCCAGCAGCTCGGTCCCTTGCAGCTCGCCGAGTGGCAGCCGGCCAGAGGGAGCCAGTCACCAGCTGTCACCTCTGGGCTGGCATGGGACACAGCCCTAGGGCCCTGTGAGAGAGAGAAGTGAATCTCAGGAGGGAAAGAGCAGGGAGGGTCCCCAAAACTGGAGTGCTGGGGTGCAGCTCAGTGGGGGAGCTTGCCTAGTAGACACAGCTAGGTTCCGCCCTGGTCCTGGGGTTTGTGCAGGCCACACTCATGCGACAACAGTGAAATGGGACCATTGGCCTGTGTGCTTAGTGAGGAGCTTTGAAGGTCACCCGTGAGACCAGTGAAAGTTGTTTTGGGTGGGGAATGGGGTGACTGAAGAAATGGGGTGGTGGGGTGGGAGAGAACAAGTTACTACTGTTTATCCTTCTGTATCTTTTGAGGTTTTTGTTTTCGATCTTATCTTTTTGAGACAGGGTCTCACTGCGCAGCTCAAGCTGGCCTTGAACTCATTTTGTATCCCAGGCTGACCTTAAACTTGCAGTGATCCTCCTGCCTCAGTCTCCTGAGTGCTGGGACTTCCAGGTGTGTACCTCCATGCCCAGCCTTTTGTGCTTTCCACATAGTGTCTCTTTATTATGTGAATATATGTACAGTTTAAAAATAGTACCTGACCCTAGTTGCTAAGTAAATGCATGTCCTACTAAGCTACACAGCCAGAGGGCTGGCAAGGTAGCTCAGCAGCATTAAGTGCCTGCCTGGCAAGCACAAGGTCCCGAGTTCGATCCCTGGGGATAGCGGTGAATGTCTGGAATCCCAGCACTCAGTAGGCTGAGGCAGGAAGACTGCCCTGAATGTGAGGCCAGCCTGGGCTATATAGTGAGTTCAAGGCCAGCTTGACCTATACAGTGAGACCCTATCTCAAAAATCATGCAAAGTTGTTATTTGGAGGGAGGCAGGGAGGGTCGAGTGAGGTGCATAGGGCAGGAGTAGGTATGACACAGTCCAGCCGTGTGGGGGGGACGGTGGCATAGCCATCTGCAGGGTGTGCAGGAGAGTCCACAGGACAGCCTCCTGGAATGGCTGATGGTGAGGGCACACCTACCCTCAGCCCTACAGTGGGCGCGATGGGAGGAAGACTTCAGAGGATGCGGCAGTGGGCTTGGGCTCCCCAGGAAGAGGCTGCATCCTCTGGGGTGGCTGAAGGACTTTCCAGAGAGCTGCAGCTGGCTGTCACCTGGCTGAGGAGCTGAAATCGCCCAGGCCAGCTGGAACCTGGGATCTCCCAACGCAGCCTCCCAGAGTGCTGAGATGACTGGGATGACAGGCGCCAGCCTCTGCGTCTGCTTTTGGCTTGTGTTCTTTGTAAGACTTCCCCTGGAATGAATTCCCTGGAGGCAGGGACCACGTGCATCTCCTTCTGCGCCTTCTCCTGAGCTGGCAGGGTGCCCGGCGTATGCAGAAGCACCAGATCCTTACTTGCTGAGCTGAGGGAGAGTCATCCAAGAGAAACACTGAGCTGACAGAGGGCCAAGGTGGCCAGGCAGGCCCAGTGGGCCGTGGAGGTCCCACTGCTGAGGGCAGAGTAGGGCTTGAGGGCGAGGAGGCTGGACCGGTCGGGGTGGACAGCAGCAGGGCAGCTGCCCAAGCACAGGGATGAGACAGGAGTGGGACAGGGCAGTTTGGTAGCTGCTTGGTTCCTGGTGACCCAGATGACCTGGAATGTTCACCCCAGAGGCTGGGAGGTGAAATCTGCTGTCAGCCCAGAAGGACGCACGAGTTACACTGTGATCCTGGTTTTCTTGTTTGATTTTTTTCAAGAGGGTCCTACATAGTGAGACACCCATCTTAAAAAACCCCACCAGGGGGCCCGCCCATTAGCTCAGTTGTTTAAGTGCCTGCTTAAAGGAGGCAGTCAGTTTCTTTGAGTGGTGGTTCCATTCCCACATACTCAAGGCAACCCAGACCAGCGCTGCTGCAGGTCAATGGGGAGCTACAAAAAATAAAAAAATAAAAAAAATAAAAATAAAAATAAAAAACCCCACCAAAATATACTCCACAAATAAATAAATAAAAATTATTTAAAAAATATATATATATACTCCAGTGGGTGGAGCACTGCTCAGCCTTGGCATGCACGGGCCTTTCATATGATCCTTGCACCACAAGGAAAGAGGCCAGAGGTGGGGGCACGCGCCTGCAATCCCAGCACTCAGGAGGCTGAGCCAGGAGGATCTCTTCAAGTTCAAGGTCAGCCTGGGCCACATAAAGAAACTTTGTCTCAAAAAGACAGCCCCCTTGGGCCGGCCAGTGGACTGAAGTGCCTGCTTAGGTAGAGCGCAGTGGCCAGGGTTCAATCCCCGGCCTGCAGTGCCAGCTGCGCCCCCAGGGGTGCGCTGAGAAGGCCAGGTGGCATACGCCTGTAATCCCAGTGCATTGGGGGGGATAGCTTGCAGGTTAGCTCATTTGTTTAAAACCCCTGCTTAGGCAAACTCGGTCAGATGCAGGGGACTGTGGTTTGATCCCCAGCGCCATAAGCCACAGCAGACCTGCCCTTCAGGCAGACTGAGAGAGGCCCCCCCAAAAAAAAACCCCCAAACTTCTCCAGCGCTTGGGAGGCTGAACACTGAATCACTGAGTCTGATCTACAGTGAGACACTGTACTAAATACTTAAAATAAAATGAAAACAATGGAGGGGGCCTGCCCCTTAGCTCAGTTCTTTAAGTGGCTGCTTCAACAAAGCAGTCAGGCTCAGGTTGCTGTGGTTCGATCCCCACAACACAAGCCAGCCAGTCATGCCTTGAAGGCATTCGGAGCAAAAACAAAACAAAACAAAACAAAAAAAAAAACAACAAAAAAAAACCACTTCTGCCATTTGGGGGCCTGGCCCTAGCTCAGTTCTTTAAGTGGCTTCCTCCACAAAGCTGTCAGCCTCAGGTTGCTGTAGGTCGATCCCCACAACTCCAGCTAGACAAAAGTGAACTGAACTCATTCGAGGAGGAAAAAAAAAAAAAAAAAAAACCCTTAAAAAAAAAAATGAAAACAATGGAAAATGAAATACGGCTTACTGGGAGTTAAATGTTGAGGTGGAATAAGGCAGACTACGGGTGCTGGGACAAACCAAGGGAACAGTGCCTGTCAGGAGGGCCACCCACTGAGAGGTGTGTGTCCCAGTGTGACCCTGCACAATTGCTGTGGTTTTGTTTTGTTTGCAGAAGCGGGGGTTAAACTCAGGCCCTTGTGCTTGCTAGGCAGGCGCTTTTTCTACTGAGCTATCTACCCAGCTCCTTGCTGTGCTAATATACAAGTTCAACACTTAGCAGTTCTGCTTACTTACAAAGTGTTTATTATTTTTTGTTTACAAAACCTTTATTATGGGCTTCTCATAAATCACTTTTTTGGGTTTTTTGGAGACAGTCTCATTAAGCAGTCCAGGCTGGCCTGGAATTCATGATAATCATCCTGCCTCAGCCTCCCGAGGGCTGGGAATACAGGCATGTACCACCACACCCGGCATAAATCACGCTTTCATACTCTTTTCCTTTAAGATCCCCAAAGCTACAAAAAATAGAAGTTTACGCATACACATGGAGGACTACAGTTTCTACACAACTACAGGAACCGGGCCGATGTTTCCAGGTGTCCACACAGAGAGATGACGGCAGGCGGCATGCTAATGTGGCTGGCAGGAGCCTAACCCAGGAGTGATGGCGTCAGCCAGGCTAACTTTTTTTTTTTTAATATACTTGGTCCAGGGTCTCACTACACAGCTCGGACTTGTGACCCTCCTGCTTTCAGCCTCTCCAGTGAATGGGATTACAGACATGCGCCACCATGTCCAGTTCCCATGTGCCCAGGGGAGGGGCTGGCACAGCATGTGGTGCTGAGGATTGAACCCGGGCCCCTGTGCTTCCCTAAACAGGCTTGTAGTCCACTGAGCTGTCTTGCCAGCCCTGAACCAGGCTAACTTCTAGGCACATGGCACTCTTCCTCTATGGACCTGGTTGTAAAACTGCTTCCTTACAGACCAGCCAAGGGACACCACCCCTAACCCTTGTTCTCCGGTTTGTAGGGTGTATCAGGAAGCGAAGATGCTGCGAGATCGACCTGCGTCAGGCAGAAGTCCTGGCTGAGCCTGAAGGCTCTGGCCACTCCTGCCCACAGCAGCCTCCCGCAGGGCAGCCAGGCTCCTGGGCTTCACACACGAGGCCAGGCCCAGCCGCACAGCGCTAGCCTGGCCTGTAACTTCCCTTCCTGTTCTATAAAGTCTTCCGCTATTTTCTTCTTAATGTCACAGAACAAGGTGCCCATGTGCCAGCTGGTGTGAGGGAAATGTCCGGAGGAACAGGTGCTAGCAATTCCCTAGCACACATGCCATGGAGGGACGGTAAGGGACAATCTCTCAGGATGTCCCCGCCTGGAGGAGTGCTGCCCTATCCTGTCACTGTTCGCCACTTTAACACATCTGCCTGTGGCGCCCGACTCCAGCCAGTGCCAAAGCTGTGATGTGGCCTCCTGCACCCAACACCACAAGGCACAGGGACTCTCCAGCAGCTCCCCAGAGTGCCCGCAGCTCTGGAGAGAAGCTGTGTTAACTGGTGAGGCTCCAGGGTGTCACACTGGTGCCGCAACTGTTTTGAGAGTCAAAGAGGGACCCTGGAGCCCAAGCATGGTAGGGAAAGATTTCCTGGCAGAAAGCAAAGCAGCCAGGAACTCTGTCCTGCCAGGCACTATGCCTGCTCCTCGGGTTTCAAACGAATCCAGTTCTGTGATAGTAATGAAGTCCCCAGACTTCCAGTCCCTGGTGAAAACCAGCATCTCAATGTGAGGTTTGCTATAAAACCCTGCCTGACCCCATCCTGCCTCTGCTCAGCTGCCGGAGGGAATCCGCTTCTTCCCTGCAGTAGCGTCAACCCGGAGGGTGGAGTCTGTGTCCCATCTGTGTCTCTCTGCAGCCAGGCCTGCTCCTTAGCTCAGGACAGGGACCTAGAGAGAAGCAGCAGCAATGCACAGCCCCCAGGGGAACCAGCGGGGCGGGCGGGGGTCCCTGGTCCAAGCCCACTCTCCTGGAAAGGGGCAGCCAGCTGCGCCAAAGGGGGCACCCAGGCCCCCAGCCCCCAACTCACTTCTTCCTGCGGATCTTGGGTTTCTTCACAGGGCGCAGGTAGGGGTTGTCGATGACGGTGTCCTCCCCGTTCCGGCTGCCTGCCAAGGAGGGATTCTGCTGCAGGACGGATGTGTTCTCCTTCTCCGCCCCAGACTCATCCTTTGGGCAGAAGCCAAAACAAAGCAAAACACCCCTTGTAAGACATCATGCCCAGGCCTGTACCAAGAGCCACCAGGGGCAGCTGTCACTGGAGGAGCTGGGAACCTCTCTTCGGGATCGCCCAGGTGGCAGCTGCCGCCAGAAGGGAGACGTCCCAGGTCCGTCAGAGTGCAGCACCAGGATGGGATCCTGAGCCTGGCTCAGCGGGCAGCAGTGCTGCAACTCAGCCGCTCCCTGAAGCCCAGTCTGCCGTGGGACAAAGAACGTCCAGCACCTCACGGCCCCGGAGCCAGGCTGGAGATCAAGTCCTCAGGGGCTGTGTAGGCCAAATGGATCAATTTGGGATGGGTTTCCCTCCCCAGTTCTCTAACTTCCTATAGTTGTAATACAGTGATAATGATCTCAGTCTAGCAGAGGCCAGAAACTTCTCGGTCCCGAGGTCCAACACAGCAGAGCCCACCCGCAGGGCCCACTAGGTGCCCGTCACGGATGCTGCCTATCTGTGACCTTGATCGGGACTTTTACTGTTTGTTTGAGGAAATTGTGATTCTGGAGAAATCTCTAATTCAAGTTTCTTAACTATCACAGTTGTATAGACTGAGGGAAAAAATCAATACAATGAAATTTTAAAAACTGCTCTGGAACCTGAGTGATTCTCTTTGCTCTCTGATACTTGCCTCTATTTTCCACATTTTTCAAAGTGTGCAGAAGGTACAGAGGTGGGGGGACACACCACCCAAAGTGTGACCTGGGAACTCAGGCTTGGGGATTGGGAACCGGGCAAGCGGTGCCCCCTAGTGACAACAAGGGTTCCATGGCAGGAAGGTCACCTAGAGTGCAGTGCAAGTGTCACCTTGTAATCCCACCCCTCCTAGCCTGTCTTTGCCTTCTAACTTCTTGCACCTCCTTCGCCCCAGGGAGAGCAGGGAATTCTGTCCCCTTCGCCTCCCTCCAGTTCCTGGCCCCAGTGCTCTGCCTGGTCCTAATAGCTTCATTAGGAGAATGAATGGATGACTCCCTGGAACTCAGATGTCTCCCACACTGGGACCAGGTCACCTCCAATCACATTATCGCTCCCCAGGGGGCAGGACCTCTGGATCCTGGGCACGGGCCAGCAGGGCAGGGCGAGACCCACCGTGCTCAGGTGCAGGGCCAGGTTCTCTGTGTCCGGCTGCTCATCCTGCTCCGAGGAGTCTGTCTCTTCCATCTGCTGCATCTCCAGCTCCGAGGGCAGAAGGGCTGTCAGGTAGGGGATGGTGAAGGGCCGGGCGGCAATCACTGGGGAGGAAGGGAGGCGTGGCCAACTGGTGCAGGGCCTCGCAGCAGGCAGAGCTTGGTCCCTGGCTTTCTGGGTGCCATCCCTGACCCTCACCCTGCAAATCGCGGGGGTGTCGCCCAAGCACAGACAAGGAGCCTGGGGCACAGCGGTTAGCGGCTTCTCAAGCACACAGTCAATTCAAACACAGGCAGCGAGACACTAGCACCCACTGCCAACAAGAGAGACTGCTCACACAGGCCCAGCGGGTGACAGTTGGAGCCCCAGCCATGCGATGGCTGTGACCCCTCGCCCAAGGGCAGTCAACCCCTTTAGGCCTCATTTCTCTCTCTCCTGCCTCCTCCCTCCCTCCCTCCAGCTGACTGAACCCAGGGCCTCTTGCACACTAACAACTGCTCTACTGCTGAGTTATATTCACTTTACGCTCTCTCTCTTTTTTTAATCGTTTGTTTTCTGAGGTAGGGTCTTGCTAGTAGCCCTGGCTGGCCTCAAACTCATGGTGTTTCTCTTGCCTCAGCTTCCTGAGTGCTGACATTAGAGGGAGAAGCCACCATGCCTGGCCTTTTCAATTCTGAGACAGGGTCTTGTTAAATTGTCCAGGCTTCTCTGGAACAAGCAGTCTTCCTGCTTCCGCCTCCAGAGTAGCTGGGATTATAACTAAGCAAAAGGGTGCCTGGCTCTAACCCTCATTTCTTTTTAAAACATTTTTTTATGTATTTTTTATGTACAGGGTCTACAGGGTCTTACTACGTAGATTGAACTCATAGTGATCCTCCTGTTTTCAGCCTCCCAAGTGCTGGGATCACAGGCGTGTATGCCACCTTGCCCAGTCTCAACTGCCCTCTCAGCGTGCCCTGGGGGTGAGGCCCATACAGTGGGATCAAACCCTGGTCCCTGCTCTCTGCATAAGCAGGCACTTTAGTTCACTGAGCTATTTGGCCGGCCCCCTAACCCTCATTTCTTTTTTTATTTTTTTTCATAATTTTATTGAGAAACAAATAGCAATGAGAGAGTTTCAAATCAAATTGATAAGACAGTTTCAATAATTAACACATTGCATACATTCTTCCTAGTGGTTAATTGCTGTACAAGATACGGACATGATATTCTATTTACAAACACCATTAGAACAAATCCCTAACCCTCATTTCTTAAAAATTTTTTTTTTAATTTTATTTAATTATTTGGTACAGGGATTGTTATGTGACCCAGAGTGGCATGTGGTACCAGGAATTGAACCCAGGTCCTTGTGCTTGCCAGACAGGCGCTTAGACCACCTAGCTATCTCTCTAGCCCTATAACCCTTTTTTTTTTTTTTTTTTGCGGAACTAGGAATTGAACTCAGGCCCTTGTGCTTGCCAGGGAAGTGCTTATTCCACTGAGCCATCTCCCCGGCCCCTTATAACCCTCATTTCTACCATAGGGATATTTATCTTTCCAACTGAAGGACGTAAGTGCAGTGGCTACTTTGAGAGTTCTGGGTGTTAAGTGTCTACTGAGCTAAGAGACACTTCTCGTGAATAAGCTTCGGTTCTTCCACAGAGTCAGGACCAGCTCTACTGACTGGGAAAAGAAGCCTGAAACTGGAAGAATATGCTGCCTCCGAGCACGGAAGTTTACTCCTTTGGCCCTGAGCTGAGGGAAAGGGAAGCGGCGCGGGTCGCTGATGCTGATTTGGGACTGCAGGGGGTGGCACTCACGTGGGAAGGTGCTGACATCATCTTTGAAGAGGCTCTGGGTCTCCCCTGTCTTGGCCATGAAGCGTGTGAGCGCCCGCTCCACGTCGCGCCTCTGGGATGCAGCCTTCTCCCGCAGGACCTGGTAGTCGGACACGGGCTCCCGGTACGTCTGCAAAGATACCAGCGAGGACACCAGTGAGTGGCAGGCCCTGCTCTCCCTGCTCCCTAGCCTGCAGCCGTGAGGTCTTCTGTCTCCTAAACCGGCCTCCACTACCTGCTGAGCTCAGCTCTGCACAACACAGCAAAAGAAAACCATGGAAATGCATCCATCTTTGCTTTTAACCTTAAACATTAAGAAAAAGGTGGGATTCCAGCACTCAGGAGGCTGAGGCAGGAAGGTCACAAGTTTGAAGCCAGGTATGGCTACATACTGAGTTCAAGGCTGAACTAGACCATGTTCTGAGACCACATCTCAAATGAAAAAAACCCCCCAAACCCTGGGTGTGATTCTACCACTCTGGGAGGTTGAGGCAGGAGGACTGCAAATTTGAACCCAGGCTGGGCAATTTAGTGACTTAAGAGAGAGCCCGCTGAAAATAAGAAACAGAAAAGGGCTGGGGATGCAGCTTTGAAGGTCCTGAGTGCCACGCTCAGTCCCTACCACAAATAATAAATCAATCAATACAAAATTTGCTTTGCCATTATGGAAAATGTGGAAATGGAGAAAAGTGCCTGCAGAGCAAGCAGAGCTCCCCAACTGCCCAGCAGTCACCTGGGGTTTTGTGGAAAATTCTTCCGGTTTTGCTTCTACATGGTGAAGCTCTTGTGTGTTTGGATGAGACAGGCGATTTCTGGCCTCACTTCCTTGGACATATTTTTTATCCGCCAGGTGCCCCTCAGTGGGCAGACACTGTGGGACCAAAGCCCTCTGCCCCCAACAACCTCTGCCCCTGGGCTGGCCACCAGCAGCCGCCACCTCTGCAAGCGATCGGGCAGCGTGGCCCAGAGCTGCCACTCACCGGGGTTTTGATGTAGGTGTGGGGGTCGGGGAACTCTGGGAAGTGGCTGGGGATATGTGGCGGGTGGGGTCGGTTCTGCCCTGCTGTGAGAGCCTTGGGGGTCACCGGCTGATTGGTCACCGGAGCTGCAAAGAGAATCACAACGGGTTACTCCTCCAGCACGGCCCTGGTGCTACCAACTGATCTCTGTCCAAAGCCTCCTCCTCTTCTCACTGGACCACTGTTCTCTTTTTTAGTACCAGGAATCAAACTCAGGACCTCATGCTTGCCAGGCAGGCTCTGTCTGCGCCTCTGAGCTACATTCCTGGCCTTCACCAGTTTTCTCTACATTGGGTGCTTTGAACTTCTACCATTAAAAGGCCTTTGAGGGTTTAAGGACCCGAGATGGCCGGCTCTGCAGTGCCTGTCCCATCCGTGACAACACCCTGAAAACCTCTCAGGGTGCTAGGAGAGTTACTGTGACCACGGAAGTTACAGGGAAATGTGCAGCCACAGAAGTAAGGTGGCTGCTAACTCTCTGTCCAGAGACCCTGGGGCTGGCAGTGTGGCTCAGTGGTAGAGAACCTTAGTTATACAGGAGGCCTGCACACCCCCCCCCCCAACATTCAGGCCCCAGATAACAAAGGCGTATGCAGAGTTGGGGAAAGCAAGTGCGGGCTTAAAGAATACAAGAGGGTGGCCAGGGAGATGGCTTAGTAGAATAAGCGCTTCCCCAGCAAAAGCAAGGCTCTGAGTTCAATCCCCAGTTCCGCAAAAAAAAAAAAAAAAAAAA